ACCTATCTTTATAGTTTTTATTAAATTTCTTATGGTGGCGAATTCGTCGAAGCGTATTTTTCTAATTTGTTATTGTTTCAAAAATGAATTTTGAAATTTTAAATGATTTTGAACCGATAGATAAAAGTTGTGCCTAATGAATCGAAATTCGTGTGCCATCTAAGTTTATGTTTATTTGATCAAACGCACAAAAAAGAAATAACAATAATAAAATGAAAACAGTGGTACGAGAGGCGAAAATATATATCAGTAACACACAGGTAAAAAATACAGGGTGTAGGGTATAAAAAAAATGTCATTGTTGTTTTGTGTAATAGACCCTATACAGGCGAGTTTTGTATTTACCAATAATAAACCGTCAATAAACGCATCATTAAATCCAACATACGTGTTTATAAATTCATATAAATGATGCATGCAAACATAATTTCAATAGGAATGGCGATAAATTAGCGTTTACGGTGATAGAGTGCATTGTGCGCTTACATTTAAATATGTTTTTGTAGCAATTATTATTGTTATTATTACCATTTATTAATTTGACCGAAATGTCCAGTCTCGATGTCGTTACTAATACTAATGTTCGTATATTCGTGTGCGTATGTATGAGTCTGTGTTTTTTGATATCAAAAATAACAGTTTTCAAACCATTCAAAGCACAATAGTTGTACTACACGAGTCGCGTTGGGATAGGAACTTTACAGAGTTTGCCAAAATATTGGTCATGCGCCGTCCAAAATTTACTACTAATACGAATAACTGAATTGTCTTATACATGAACACGTATTGCTCAGTGTAGCATACTATTTACATAATTTCATTCTGTTTTAAGAAATTTGTATCTTCGAGGAGTTGCTCTTTGCTCTTCGCACTCGACCTTATTCGTCTTCGCAGGAGTTCGTTTTATCATCAATCGAAAGCATTTTATCGTCGAGTTTTTCTTTTTCTTCTCTCCGCTTGTGTATTATAATTCACCCTTCGACCGTCTTCCCGTTAACGATAACATTTTCCGGTCTGATGATGCTAAATTCAAAACAGCAGCCGTTTCATTAGCCGCGGATCGGTAGTTCCACTGCTACTAAAATACACTGCATGCCCCACGAGTTGTTAATGTTTAAATAGTGAAACTATGAATATAACGTTCTGTGAGCGTTGTTTGTACAGTTCCGTTTCCACGTGCAAGCCGTAGGTGTTCCGCGATAAATGTAGGCGCTCGAGTTTATACCTTAAGTCGCGCGACGACATATTTTTTCGGCTCGTTAAGAAACTATTCTTCCTCCCGTCAAAATTTGTTAGGATTTTCAATAAAAATACACGGTATCCTTCCGAAATATTATACAGCCATCTACTACGGCGGGCGCGTGGTGCATATAGTTTCTCGCACGGGAACGCGAGAATCAACGGCTGCGTCGAGATCGTGGTGCACTGTTTTTCTTGGATTTATATCTCGCAATGCGGCGTTTAGGTCAAATTTTCGCGGCATATTACAGACCTGAACTAGATGAAGACTTGAGCGCTTTTGTTTGTAAGTATCGTTATTATTTTTTTTCTCGTGAGATTACAACCCGCTTAAAACTTCTCGGGTGCAATGTGTATTTACTCGTATTTATTGTGAAATCCTGTGTGTCCTTCGGCCACGGTGCAGACATAAACTTGCCCTAATAAAAGCTCTTATCTATGATCCCTGTGTATGGTATACGTGTATAAATTGCATGTATGCGATTCAGGTCCTTTCAGCTTATTCCCATTGTTCGTCGAGTACATATGTATATATACCGTGTGACGTGCAAATAAAATAAGAAAATAATTACGAGTATAGTGTATTTTTTCTTTTTTTTGTCATAAAAACGTCGTAGATATGACACGCTGTTGGAATATAATGATTTTACTCGTTACTGAAGTTGGAATGGAAATCGTAATTGTATATTTTGCTTGTATTGAGCACTGGCGTCGTTTATTTCGAACGGGTGGCAGTCTGTTATTATCGTTGGTCGATTATTATTATCGAATGTTATCATAACCGCGACGAGCTAAAAGCTTACCATAATATTATAACATGGTATTGTAGCATTCATTGACGAATCCGGAACGTTCGGAAAGCACATAATTTAGAGACGGTATGCGATTCGTGCTTTGTTTCCGTCTGAACACGTATTAAACCTACGACGATTCGCTACGTGCACTAAATATTTGAAAAAAGCTATTACGTCGTATGTGTGAAAAGTCCATTCATTCAGGGAAACATTGTACGATTTCGTTTGACCGCGGCCAAGATAACTTGCGCGTGGTGTGTTGCTCAGTAAATATTCAGGAGGCCGAAGGAACAAAACATATTTCGTACAAATCACTCACTCCACTGTGTGAAATGCACTCAAAAAGTCTTGGCACGTATTTTTTTTTACGGGACGGAAGAAATACGAGTAACTAATGAAGTTTCAATGTGACTTTTCTGTTTTTGTTTAGTGTGAAGTATTATTATTAATAGTTGTTGTTCTTATTGGTATTGGTAGAACTTTCGGGTCAGGTAACATGATTCGATTCGATGGCATTACATATTTTCAATTGCTGACAAAGTGACATAGGATAGGAGGGATGGAAAATCAAACTTGGCATACTTCACTCCTTTAATTAACGCAATGGGCGGCAATGCACGCCATATTTAATCTGAACCATGCACGAAACCATTGAGAAATAGTGATGTAATGTGTCTAAATATAAGATCAACCTAGTACAAACTTAATGTACATTCATAAGATAAAAAAATGAAAAGTATATTCGCCGCCCAACCATTAATTCTAGGTACGGTTCATTTAACTATTATTTTACTGAATTATAAATTATGTAAATAGTTTGAATTTATGTGTCAAGTTCAACTAAATTTAATTTTAAATGTCATCATTAAGATTTTCAACAATATTGTTATTATTAGTTTATATAAGAATTATTCGATCCAAATAAATTCATATCGTTAAAAATGATTTCAAAAATATTCCTACAACTATTTATTTAGTTTGTTAATTTTTAAAATATTTTTTCGAAAATAAATTAAGTTAAAATTGCTACAAGTATAAAATTATGACATAAATATTGTAAATACTAACGTATAATTTACGTATGACCAAATCGCTTTGCTATATTATACTTATTTTTTATAAATTTAATTATTTTAAGATTTTTATTATTTATTAATATCCCAGAGGTTATTGATTGATTGATTGAAAACTCGAGAACTAAAGCTTTATAATGGATTTGCATAAATTAATTTTGTCTACAGACCTTAAGATGAGAATCTAAATCCACTTAGTTTTTGATGTGAGATTTCTTATCATATTTTTATAATTTCTCGAATAAAGGAATTATACACAATTTAATTTATTTCTTAATCCTACGCGTTTACTTCACATGAAAACACATTTCGACTTCTCCCGTAGTCTTCAAGAGAAAGTTAACAGTCACTAAACGAATTGTTCACTATACACAGTTCTTGTGAATTTAAATGTAAATCAATTACTTACACGTCGTATGAATTTATAATTTTTATTTTATGGTTTCGTCTATAACGTATAATCCGCTCACACATATATTCGTTTGTTCAGTCATGATATTGTATTAATTAACTTAATGATATATTAATGCACTAAAAAATGCACATTGCGTTAGTCATTTTACAATTAAAAAAAGGTATTTGCTTGCTGTGAGAAATATTTAAAATATAATCGAAGTATGTGATATTAAAATGGTGGATTATTATAGTATCAAAATTGAATATGTTTTGTTGAAAACTGAAAAAAATAATAATACATTTTTATAAATTATTATAGAACATATTTATAATTATAGATAATTACCGAAAACTTATTTTAATTGTAGATCATAATGGATTGCTTATTTTTGATTAAGTTTATCTTGTAGTTAAAATAGTATACTATAGTGGTGACAATAACGTTAGTAGTAGTTATTAAATTAATTTAAAAAAATGCCAATATTTTATGAAATTATACTATTTAATTTAAAAGTTGAATTGAAATGTAAGCTCTATATAAAGAGATATAAAAGTATTCTGTAAAAGTATTACTTGTGTTAATAGTTATAAAATAATATAATTATAATATTATAACTGTTTAGTGGATGAAACGTTTATTTTGTGTTGAATAACGACAGTGAAAATAAACATTTATTCATAATTGTATTAAAATTTAAAATACTCATATTCGATAATACTCAATTATTTTTGACCTAACAGTAACCGAAATATGGAATTTTGCCCAAAAAAAGTTTACCGTCCTTGATATAATATTATAATGTTTGGTACGATTTAAAATATTATATTTCTATAAAGTTAATTTAATTAAATATATGTTTATATTAATTACTTAAATTCTTTAAATATTTATTCACACTATGATGAAGTAATCATAAACCACATGTCATCTTACATTAAACACCTAAAATATAGAAATAGAAACATATATAATATACCTTGTTCTGTGTTTAGTATACAAAACGTTTTATTGAGTGATATGTTTTACTCATCTCTAACAGAATTTTCCTTGGGTAATAAAGGAACTAGCATACACAAAGGCATATTTTGAGGATTGGGTAATGATTTTAATGAATATTTTTCAAGTTATATATGAAAAATAATATACATCTCAAAAGTCCATTTGAAATAATTGTGTTGACGATGAAGTTGACATACAAATTGTTTGTATTTATTAAAAAATGAATTATATTATAATTGATTAAAATCAAAATTAAGTAAAATAATAAGTTAGCATCACACACCAATGGAGAGCTGAAAACGTATTTAGTGAGACAATAGGTTTTCCAGAGACAGGTATATAGATCTAGGTGTAAAACTATGTATACGACGTGACAAAAACTCGTGAAAATCTTCCTAGTTCCGTTCGCATCGAGACTGTCGTCCAGCTAGCTAACGTGCAGTGCAATTAAAATACCCTGTCGTAAAGCATATATTAATATTAATATGTTTTTTTTAGGTGAAGTGATTTCTGCGCTAATGCGCGTGTAAAATACAATTATTGGTCATATGCATATATATTAAAGTTTTCAACTCATCAAGTGAGCCCGTCATCGTATCGGATGGTGAATTTGACGATTTTTTTTTTTACACTCTCTCCTCGTATGGCATGGATATTGACCTGCTGGTCCGCTTTCACGACGATCATCAGCGGACGTGGTAACGTCACACGTTGACGAGATAACGCTGTCACCATAATTGGAATAGTATCGCATCAATGATATACTCACAAAAACCAAGAATAGAAAAAACAATGTTACAAAACAGTATTAACAAATTAAATAAACGCGTGAGCAGAAATATGTTCTAGTGGGGTTCTCAAGGTTTTAAAGGATTACTGCGGTTAGTGACAGTTACCGATGGAAAATTTTACCTTTACTCGAATGAAATTTTGAGTTTCACTGATCAAAAATAGCTGGTTTCCGGGGCGAGTTTGAAACCGGACTACAGTAATAATAATAGAGGTATATCGTTGCGGGGGTTCGTGTCAGTCGCGGGCGACGGTGTCTATAGGCCGCGGAGGGATGATAAAGGATAGTCGGCCATGAACACGGTGCAGAGCTCTCACGGTGGCGGAGGATCCGGCAAGGAGAAGGGCATCGAGGTGAGTAGTGCGATCTCGACGAGCAGTTGCTGCTCAATGCACATACACGTGTACACGCGTTAATAACGATAATACTTTTGCGCATCAGTCGGTCGAGAGATACATCGATATCACAGTGGCACGCGCGCGTGTTCATGCATTTTCGTCCTTAAACGCACTCATCGGATAACAGAACAAGGAAAAAAACCTTACACTATGTCCTAACTAGTGCGTGCACGTAATGCGTGGAGACGGTGCGATGTTTGATTGCACGGCATTGAATTCTAGTACCCGTAATAACGGAAAAATTCAAAGATAACGAAGCTTATTCTTAATAGAAAATAATTATCTGAATTATAAATTACTTAAAACGAGTAAAAAATCTAAGAGATCTTCTCCAAATGTTATTTACAAAAACTGATTATGGCATGGGGTACAAAAATGTGATTAACAAATAACAAATTAAATTAAAAAACTATTTGTCATCTATTTTCGGGTGTGATGATACATATCGCACGTGACGAAAAACCAGTTATTTTATATTTAAAACTTGTGAATGTGGTGCGTTATTGTGAATTAAACGCAACCAGGACAATCCGATATATTCCTGAACGTTTGCGATTAATATAAATCGCATGCGTTCCACATAGCAACTAACATAGTATAGCATAACATAAGCACATATTGTTAGACGTGCACACGTTCTTGTCGTGCGGTACTTTTCACACGTGACGAATTCTCTACTATTAAGTTACGCGAGTTTGGCGAGTTGTTGTTCTGACAAATTGGCTTGATTCTGAAATTTATTTAGGTAAGGCATTCTGTTAAAATATGTATAAAACTCAGTTGGACTCTGCATGAGAAACAAATTGGAGGGTCATCTTTGTATGCTAAAATGCTGTGGGATATTTGAGAATGGCAGATGTGAAGCCTGTTTATTGCTACTTCTATTTTTTTCGGAATATCCAAGGAATTAGTGGCGCCATTTTTACTTTTATCAAATTATATTACTCTCCTCCTACTAATTACCAAACACATTCTGTAACTTCAACAACTTCTTTTGGAAGTGAATAAAAGACAAAGAAGGATTTTGTCTTTAAAACTTTTTGATTTGAGCTTTTGAAGCCAACTCACTACAGCATGGGTAGAGTGCATTTTCGAATTTTTCATCTGTAAACCTTGACCACGGGTCTGTTGTGATTGATAGATAAGTATAAAATGCGACAAAAAAAAAAAAAAAAAAAAACATAATAACAAATTGTAACATTCTAACGAAAAATTGGACAGGTCGAACTCTAACCCTGTAAAAGCATCACTAAACTCTGTGATCCAGACGACCAGCACGGAGCGTATCGTGCTATTTTCCATTATCGCGGTATGATGTTAATGAGCAGGAGAAGTGACCGAAGTTGAAATATTTAATGAAGTAAGACACTTAAATTGCTGTTTATGTCTGCAGCCTAGAGGTGCTTTGAACATAAATATATATTTTAGCAGACCAAATAAAACCACCGCCTACAAATTGCTTCACTCGATTTACTTCATAGCTCTAATTGAACGTAAATACGATCCTAATTTATTAATAAATATGTTCATAAATCAACTTGTTTATAATATAATAAATATTATTGTATTATATATTGTAATTTATTTTATCTAAACTCACCTAAAAATAGTGAATTCTTCTACGCACCTAATTTTTTTACCTGGACATCATCCTTGTAGAAGGCGTTTACAAGTCAGCGTTTCTAGTTATCATAATGCGGAAGAGTACTGTTATGATAAATAAAAGCCGTTTCACGATGATTTGTGAGCAATTGTGAGCTTGTGTTTCGGATTTGATCGGCATGAAGCTTCGCTTGAAACAACAAATGCCATAGGGCATTTCCAAGTTTCCGAGAAACTTTCTAAGTTGTAACTACTATTTATGCTAGAGATTTTCTACATAAATGTGCATAGTGTGAGTTTGATATTCTAAGCTTTGTAATTGTTATACAACAAATTCACTTCAATGCTTTAAAATGCTGTATGAATCATCGGGACGGTTTGTAAATTCTGATAACAGACTTGTATATTCTTAAATTTTTATTTATTTATTTAGTAAATTTTTAGTTATTTATTAATTTTTATTTATTTTTCTTTTTATTTATTCTTATTTTTTTTATTTATTTATTTTTAGTTTTATTTTATTGATTAAGAATTGATATCTAGAAGTTTTTGTTATAAGTAAATTTGTCTCTTAACTTCACTCGTTTACGCTAATTAGTTGAAACTACTGCAAAACGTATCAAAAAAAAAAAAAATAACTCCAACATTTTATCACATTTTAAAATTTTGTTTTTATAAGGTATTTAAATTGTGTGATTTTTCCATTTTTCTGTTACTATTTTATAGGTGAAGTTACAGTTTTCGATAAAACATCGATGTAGTTTTATTATCGAAAGCGTTTTATTATATATAAGAAGAGCGATGATGAGTACAGGTGAAGTGTAAGGAGAGTAGTTAGACAATATATTATATGGTTGCGTGTGTAAGACAGAGACGAACGATTTCGCAATGACGCCCATTTGAGAATCTCATATGACTAATTTCTAATTCACACGCTAACTTTATGAAAACGTAAAACTAGGGAGGAGAGACTATATTCAACGGCTGAGGAAATATTAGTTATCAAACATTACAATTTGTTGTCTATAAGTTGTTGGTCAAACACATACGCACTGCATTTTACTGGAAAGTCGGCTTAAATTATTTTATGTTTGAAATCGTTATGTGAAACTATCGATTTAAGTAAAATTTCAATATTGTTTTCGTTAAAAGGATTTTTTTTTGGTATTTTTGTGTATGTGATTGAATAAAGGCAATCACCAAATAATGTATATATTTTTCACCTATAGGTGTTAATGGTTGTAAATTTGGATCTAAAACAATTCGCCGTGGCTATTTCCCCTGGAGGAAATTTCACCGGAAAGATAATAAGTAGCCATGGCTATTTTTTTCGTCATATTCATAATTTTAAAAAACATAATAATAATAATAATAATAAATGGTTATAAAATAATAATACATTTATAGTATATTTTGTCATATATATAATTATAATAAAGGTTATCGATAATCATGGCAGTGAGATATTATATGCTATGTATTTTAAATATGAAATGTAGTCTCTACTGCCATATTATTGTATTATTTTTTTATATGTGTCTATCTAGATTGGCCAATTTTTTAAATTTTTTGGGTGGACTTTTTCCTGCGGTTAACTGAGAATAAAAATAATCAAGACCAGATTGAACTTTTTTTAAACAATTAATAAAAGCCCAGATTGATGGATGGTATACTCCCATTTCAATATTAAATCGTCTATTCGCAGTTTCTGCGTGATTATTAGTTTTAAACCTCGGGAATTTAATACTCCATTTTAATGGTTCCAAATATCAGCTGGAAAATATGCGAGGCGTTTACCTCTACTATTTCTATTTAACCTTCCAATATAGTTGTTTTCGTAGGCCACGAGAGATTTTAAAATAAGATAAGATAAGTAAGAAAAATCCAATAATTTCAACAATAACATAACATATAGTACTTGAGTTTATACACAATTTTTCAACCACAGCGAAATGTCTCTACGGCGAAATGTTTTCTTGGCGAAATTACCATGACAAAACGGCTATGGCGAAATGGCCTCGGAGAATTGACCTATTTCATTTTAATTGCATTACAATTTTTGTTAGAACATTAATAATAACTATCATAATCTGAAAAAAATAAATAAATTTAACTTTAAATATAATAATGATTATTATTAATCCAAAATCGATTTATTTATTACTACTCAAATATCATCTTATAGTTCAATGATATAGTTAAGAATTTAAGAACAACGTGAACATAAATGTTAGCAGAAACGTTTGTACAGTTGGTCAAATTTTTAATGGCTTTTGAAAATGTGCATTAAAAAGACGTAATCATCCTTAAAATCACAAAATCGAACCATGGAGAAAAAAAACATGGTGATAAAATAATTTTGGATTTTAATATTGGGAAAAATTTTAAAACAGCCACGGATTTACTTAACATATGATTACAACATAATTATATGTTTTATAACTGAAATTCTGTATTATAAAGCAAAGAAAAAAGTCGTATGTTTAGTGTAATGTGATGATATTTTTAAAACGTTGCAAATTATATACATATCACTTTTAATAGAAGGTACGTTGTAATATTCTCAATTATTTGTTACTTTATTTAAATTACAGTAACTCTGTGATGAAATTTACGTACATATATATTGTCACCTGATAAGTTACAAAATAATAAATAAAATCATAACTTACCTACATAACATGCTTTATAGGTTTTAAATGGTATCATTACACTTCATGTTTTAGGATATAATTATGTTTTTTGTTTCTTACGTTTTTGAACTTTTATAATAAACGCTTCTTTCAATATAACTTATACATACAAAACATAGTAAGATAAAAAAATTACATTTTACACACTTGAAGTTTTCAAATAGTTTTTGGTCTACAACACTGTCATTATTTGAATATTTGTATATTACACTAGTGTATGAATGTGTGTGTGTGTGTGTGTGTGTATTTATGTAAATGTGATTCTTTTCACGTGTGATGCGTGCTTAAGTAGTTATACGTATCATTTCTTTGAACTGGCTCGAGGTGGATCGATAAACTTCAGCGATGTAACCTGTAGTAGTGAATTCGTGCTGTGCTCGATGTGAACTAAAAATACCCCCAAGAGTCCAATTAAACGAATTATATCAGAATGAATTCAAGTTTTTAATTAAAACTGGTAGAGTTACCCGCCAATTATCCGAGTTTGGAGAAAGACCGCAGTTAAAACGTTTTGTGATTATTTCGTGTCCAATTCAACCGACTTAACGGAATTCGATGTGATGCCAAATAAAACATTAACCAAACAAAGAGCGAAGTTATTATATATTTATACATATTATTATTATGTATAATTCTTCGAGTTAGGTCTACATTACCTAT